TTCAAACATTAGCCAAAGCAAATAGGCAAGAGAAAGACATGAAATTGATACATATAGGAAAGAAAGAATTCAAATTACCATTATTTGAATATGACATGATACTCTACATAGAAGTCCCCCCCAAAATTCTTTAGCAATTAACTTCAGCAAAGTAACAGGCTACAAGATCAACACACAAAAATCATCATCATTTATGTATACCAACAATGAAGGTGATGAAAAAGAAGTAATGAAAACAGTATCATTTACATTAGCTGTAAGAAAAATGAAATACCTAGGAATTAACCAAACCAAAAATGCAAAAGATCTCTACAAAGAAAACTATAATTCTCTGAAAAAGGAAATTGAAGAAGATATTAGAAAATGGAAAGATGTCTCCTGTTGCAGATAAGCAGAATCAGTATTGTCAAAATGGCCATACTCTCAATACTGTTGTACAAATTCAGTGCAGTCCCAATCAAAATACCAACAGCATACTTTACATTTCTAGAAAAAGCAATCATAAAATGTATATGAAACCAGAAAGACCCAAAAATAGTTAAAGTAATTTTTGGCAAAAAGAGCAAAGCAGGAGGCATAGCAACACCTGACTTTAAGCTATACTACAAAAAAATAGTGATAAAAAATGGCGTGGTACTAGAACAAAAACAGATACATCAGGGGAACAGAACTGAGGATAAAGAAACTTCCCCAGATACAATCAGCTATTTGGACTTTGCCAAAGGGGCTATATGTTGCAGGAAAGAGCCTATTCAATAAGTAGTGCTGGGAAAACTGGCTATCAGTGTGCAGAAGATTGAAAATGGACCCTTCTGCAGGTGGACTCTGGAGTCCTGTCACTTGTCCATCCCTGCTGCAGGATCTGCCCACCTTTTCTGCCAATCTTGCCATTTCCATTCCTTTAGTTCCCTTGGCTTGAGAATGTATTCAGAGCCAACATTCCTCTTCTGAAAGAATGGATGTGATAACATTTCTAAATGCTATCTACAGCCATGCCACCCTGAACACACTCGATCTCATCCAAATGCTAGCTCATAGGGTGGGTCTCCCTTCCTAGAAGAAACTGCTGACCACGACTGATCACTTAGTGACAGTGTTAGTCATTAAGATGCTGGTGGGCTGTTTCTGGCTTCCTTTTGGAACTTTCAATAATTTCCCATCAGGAGAAGCAGTAGCTCTGGCTGATGAGTGCTGGTGAGCTTGTTCTCACTCACCATCCTGCCCCTGGAAGTGTCATTCTTCCCAAGCAAAGTTGCAGTTAAAGCTCGGGCTGATATTCAAAGCTGGCACAGGCAGCAGTGCACCAGACACAGCAACAGACCTCGTTATGATGAACGTGTTGCACACTATCTTGAGTCTCTGCAACTTGCTGCCTTCTCTGTGTTGGTGGATTCTAACAGTCCAGAGAGGCCAGGGCAGCCCTGGAAGCTAACCAGGTGGCAAATATAAAAGATGACTGTGTTTCTGTTTAGTTCTTGGTGAAAGGATCAGTGACACCCTTGAGCAGGTTGTTGATGTCTCGAGGCTCTCTGAACTGCTGAACCATTCTTGCTTGAAGCCAAGAGGTTTCTGAAGTTAACATCTGCTTTATGTCTGCTAACATTGTGTCTGAGAGCAGAGCATGTGAAATCTATCTGTAGATGGAAAGGAGCAGGCCACACTCAAAGAATGCGGTGTCATTTGTTTCCAATCCTGTAGCATCTCCATGTCTTGAGCAGCAGATTTTCCTGCACTGTGACTTTGCCCCACAGCATGGATGGAAATCATTTTAAGGATGCAGGCTTCTGCCTGCTTATAGTTTTTAAGTGGTGATGTTTCCTGAAAATTTGCTATGGAAAGCAGTAAATTTATCAGAGGAATAGCTCCATAACAAAACCCTGTAAAGGTTCTTCTGGTGTGTGAATGATTTTCCACCAACTGTAGGCTAACCCGGATCCCTAGACCCCATGCTGGGGTGCCACCTATAGCTGGCTCTGCTACTTCGTTCTCTAGATCCAGCCACCTCTGAAAAAGCCCCACCTATGACCACATGAGGCTTTGGGGGGACAGCTAGACACATCTGTAATAGGGTCCCAGTCAGTTTGTTTAGAACAGTATACATAGTCTACCACCAGGTTCTATGACCAGTCTGGGCTTGAGAAGAATTAAGGGAAGAATTATGATGGTATAGGCTGCCTAGCTAAGATGCTGTAATGGGATGTAGAATTCAATCACAGGGTCTGTTATAAATCTCATGTTTATCTTTAAAAATTCCTTACCTTGCTGTCATGAAATCCAGTTACTTTCATAAAGAAAAGATCCTGTAAAATATTCAGATTGGAGACATTTTTAATTTGATCAGTTTACATTTGGCTAAGAGATGGTAAGGTTTAGGGTGTGTGCTTATTTGTGCTTATGTTCTCTCTCTCTCTCTCGTACTAATAAAAAATTAAATGCAAAATGTCTTAAGAATTATGTCTTTTTCAAAGCTTTGGCTCAGATTTGTACTTTTGATATATGAAATGAAAATGAATATCAAACTTGTTTATACAGAAATAAGACCAGAAAAACAAGTCTGTATTGTGTATAGTTACATATTTTATGTTTACCCAATGGCTGTGCTAAACTTTATGTTTGGCTTTGAATTATATGTATGTTTATACCAGACATTTTTCAAATAAAAAGAAAAACTTAAAATAAAAGAAAATGGACCTTTATTTCTCACCATATACTTAATTAAAATAAAAATGGATCAAAGATCTAAACATTAAAACAGAAGCATTAAACCTACTAGAAGGCAAAAGAAGTAAAACTCTTGAAGACCATAGGTGTAGGAAGGGATTTTCTAAGCAGAACTTCAACTGCACAAGGAATAACAGCAAGAATCAACAAATGGGTTTATATCAGCCTGAAAAGCTTCTGTACAGCAAAAGAATCAATCAGCAGAGTGAAGAGACAACCTACAGGACAGCAAAGAAATTTTTGTCAGCTACTCCTCAGACAAAAGACTAATAACTAAAACATACAAAGAACTGAAAAAAATTAAACTACCTAAAATTAAAGATCTTGTCAACAAATGGACAAGGTAAATGAAGACACTTCATAGAGGAAGAAATACACATGGTCAACCAACATATGAAATTCAACATCTCTGGAAATTATGGAAATGCAAATTAAAACAATGCTAAGATTCCATTTTACTCCAGAAAGAATGGAAATCATTAAGAAATCAAACAATAACAAATGCTAGTGAGGCTGTGGTGAAAAAGGAACACTCATTCATTGTTAGTGGGAATATAAACTAGTACAACCATTCTGTATCTCCAATAATCAGTATGGAGATTTCTCAAAGAAGTGAAACTAGAAATTCCAAATGACCCAGCTGTTCCCCTGCAAGGTGTCATCCCCAAAAGCTTATGACATCATTCTACAGTGATACATGCATACTAAGGTTTATAGTATCACAACTCATAATCGCTAAATTCTGGAAACAGCCTGTATACCCATCAACAGATGAGTCCACAAAGAAAATGGGGTATCTACATATAATGGAATACTACTTGGCTATAATAACAGATTTGAGACATTTATAGGAAAACAGATGCACTGGATAAATACAATGCTGAGTGAAATATCCAGACACACAAGCTTAAATGCCATATGGTATCTTTCATTTGAATGAAGCAAAGTACAAATAAAAAGAATAATAAAGGATAAGGATGGGTAGAAGGGGACAAGGAGATACAGCTCTTGCTACAGGGAGGTTGTTTGAGAGAAAAAGCTCAAGGCATGTGGAGAAGGTGAAGGGGAAACAAATAAACTATGTACAGGAACCTCATAACCTCAATGGATGTAAATATGATATGCCATAACATGAGCTAAGATAACTGGGCTGGGGATATAGCTCAGCAGTGCAGGGCCTGCCTGCCAAGTGTGAGGCCCTGGGTTCGATTCTCAATACCAATAAAAAAAAAAAGAGGAGGAGGAGGAGGGAGAGGAGGGGGGATTAAGGGAAGGAGGTTTAGAAAAAGAAGCAAGCTGTGGATTTAGCTAAACTCAGGTGCAGGTGATAGAGTTCTGCTGACATTTCAAACTAATGCAGGGGGCTGGGAATTTAGCTCAGTGGTTATTAATGCATATAATCAATCCTTGAAATCAATCCCTGATATTATGTTGTTTTTTGGGGGGTACCAGGGATCAAATTTGGGTCCTTGTGTTTATAAGGCAGGTGGCGGAACCACTGAGCTAAATCCCCAGCCCAATCTTTGATATTACATTTATGTCTTCTATGTCCCCCCCAATTTTTTTTTTTTTTTTTTGGTACCAGGGATTGAACTCAGGACCTTGCACTTGCGAAGCAGGTGAAAGAACCACTGAGCTCAATCCCTGGTCCCCAAAATCTTGATGGTAAAACTGTGTCCTGTTTCTGGCTTAAGTGATTAGTAAATGTATTAGGTATTTAGTGTGTGCCCACTCAGCATGGGGATACCATGGAAGATATATAGAGAAGCAAGGGCCTGTTTTGTTTGGTTTTGAGCTGGGCATAACACTGCCAAATATAAAATTTACATCTTCCAGCTCCTTTGTTGCTAAGAACCACCTTGTAGTTCTGGACATGAGGTACTGTGAAAACGGTACTGACTTAGGAGGGAAGGGCTTTGTTGTTTTGCTCTTTTGCTTTTTCTTCCTCCTAGAAGGACTAAAGGCTGGAGCTCCAGCTGCCATTTGGGACTGAGGATGTACCCCAGGTTGGCCTTGAACTTGCAGCAATTCTCCTGCCTCAGCCTCCCAAGAACTGGGATTATAGGTGTGCACCACTATGCCCAGCCAAAGAGACAGAAAGGTCCCTGAAAGCATTATAAGCTGCCATACACTTCCTAGCTTATCTATCTCCATCTTCCTTACACAAGAAAGGAACAAATGCTTTATCTTGGATTAGCCATTTTTACTTGGTGTTTGATGTTAGATGTAGCCAAATTTATTGCACTTTGTAGCCTTCTTGTACACTTGACCATTTTTACCTGAATGTGACAGTGGTGCTATATTAAAATCTTGCCTCCCTGTGTATTGCCACGAGCAATTGCTGTTTCACTTCTCCTTCAATGCGGTTGCTCAGGAGAGCTTTAAAGAGGGTGTCTTGTGTCATATTTGCCTGCTGAGACATCAATCCAGCTTCTCCCCACTGTCAATACTTCTTTTTGGTTTTTCCATCAGGAGATTTTATAGTTAGAAACTTGTATGATTCAGCTACAGGGAGAGGAAGGGATTGAGAGAACAAAGATTAACAGGAGGAAAGGATTTGGCAGCTGAGCTAAACATAGCCTTTGCAGTACATGGCATACTCCATTCTTATGGGACCATAGCAATGCTGTGGAAGGAGAATTGGTGTACGTACTTGGGTTCTTTGCTCTATCTTTTCTCTCTCTGTCACTAACTCCTTTGTGAATCAGTCACCTTGGCCAAAAATTCCTAAGAATCTCAAGAATGAACTTTTACACCTCATCACACACGCCATTTCTAAATTGCGTATTTTCCTGAAGGGGACAATTATTCCAATACAGTTTGTACCTGCTCTCCAGCTGTTTCTGTGAAGCTGCAGAAGCTCCTAAGGAGAGGTATGGGGAACTGTGAGGAAGAAAACAAACAAAAACAGTTAAAACAATGCACGTAGGCTCAGGGGGCAGCAGAGATGTTTGGGTGCACACTGTACTTAGAGACCTTTGTTTCCAGTTTCAAGACAGACCTCTCCTATTCCTTTCAACATGAGAACCTTTAGCAACTAAGAAAGAATATTTAGTTTTGCTACTTAAGAACTACAGCACAGTTTTTTTGTTTGTTTGTTTTTGAGACAGAGTTTCACTATGTAGTTGACTCTGACCTGGGCTCACTGTGTAGTCCAGGCTGGTCTCGAACTCACAGCCATCCTCCTGCCTCAGTCTCCCGAGTGCTGGGATTACAGGCGTGTGCCACCATGCCTGGCACAGCAGAGAGTTTTAGCCCACATCAAATGTTAGCAGCACAGATGTGAGACCTGCTTATCTGTCCATGACTTCCTTATCTTTTAAATCTTTCATATTCTATTTTAATATTTCTCTTCAGTTTAACTTTCTTGTCTTATATCCACATCACCTCCATTTTCACGCTCACAGTTTTGTCTTTAGTACCCAGACTAGGCTTTGGCATCAGCTTCCTGTGTTCAAAACCAGCCCAAACCCTTCTCACTGGACCCTCTGCATGCCACATTCAGAACATTTACTATGTTATCTAGATAAGATCAATTTAAAATAATATTTTATCTAATTCTGGACCTTGAGGACTTAAACCTTTTTACAGCACAGAATAGGCCCTCTCTAAATATTTCTTGACCTTTGGCAGGAGTGATAATCAGTCATAACGTCTGTAAAACACTGCCATCAATTATCACTTGCAATACACTAGTTTAAAAATTTATCCTGAAATTTTAAACAGAAAAACAAAATTTTTAAAAATTGTGACAGAAAAAAAAAAATCCCGCCCAAAGCTGGAATATGTAAATTTGAATGCAGCTGGGAATTATGATAGGAAATAAGTGCAACTCTTAAGTGATACCATGAAAAGGGTTTTGCAATAGAGCATCAGGAAAACAATCATACAATATATTCTAATAGAAAGTAGTACATATTATGTAATGCAAAAGAGGGCAGCGTTGGGAACCAGATTCCAGAGTTCAGATTTCAGATCTATTACTACTGCTATGTGAATTTAGGCAAATTATTTAACTTTTCTACCTCTGTAGCTTTATCCCTCATCAGTCAACATCACTTAAGAGAAGTGGCTGACACAGAAAAGGCTAATACTTATTATTGTTATAATTTCCTATCTTTAAGCATGACCCAGGCCAAATTTTACAGTTTATCATTATGTATAAATCACTAGTTACATGCAGTCACAATTCTTTTGAAGTACAATTTGGGAATGATACAGAAGTTGCTTTAAGAACATGACACTAGATAATTAGTTTCTTTATTGTTTTCTTTTTTGGTACCAGGCATTGAACTCAGGCCCTTGTATTTGTGAGGCAGGTGCTGGAACCACTGAGCTAAATCCCTGGCCCTATTGTTTTCTTTTGAACTCAGGTACCCTCCAGAGTTCTCAATTAAGCAGAGTTAGGGAGTGAAAGCCTCCAAACTTTGCTCTTGCCCTTTATTTAATTAATTTAATTAATTTCTTTGAGACAAATTCTTCCTATGTCATTCAGGTTGGCCTTGAATTCACTATATAGCCCAGGCTGGCCTTGAACTCAGGGCAATCCTCTTGACTCCCAAGTATTGGGTTTACAGGTGTGCATCACCTCGCCCCATGTAGTTCTTGCCTTTCATAGTAATAACTTTAAAATCCTTATTTGAATTTTAGTATTTGTGTAATCTGTAACTTCTAATTCTAAGACATTTGGCCCTTTAGACTTCTAAGGAGATTCAAAATTCTAGTTTCTAGCCTCTTGGTACTTACATACTCTTTCCTTCTTCTCTACCTCCTTTACTTTCCTTCTTGGGTTCAGCTTGCTTCTGATGAGGTGGCAATCTTTGGCTAGTCTACTTCAGCTTTTTTCACAATGAAACATTCACAAAATAAAGTGCCATGTCTATCATGTTTGTTGCTATATCTCCAGTGCCAACTGCGGTGCCCTGAACATGAATGTTTCAAATAATCCAATAAAGAGATATGAATAAAGATACTATCCTGGAGCAGTGGAATTTAGGAGAACCAGCATAAGTTATAGATCTGGATTCTAACCCTTGTTTTTGGAGGGCGGGGTACCAGGGATAGAACTAGGGGCCTTGCACTTGTGAGACAGGTATGGCGCCACTGAGCTAAATCCCTGGCCCTAATCCGTTTTTCAAATTGCTTCAAGTCAAACTGCTTAACAAATTTTCATCTATATTTGTCTTCCTTACTTTTTTTAAAATGAGAAAAATACCTATTTTGTAAAGAGCATGAAAAATAACAATGGTTTATTAAAATTACTATTAAATTTATTAAAACTATATTGAACATATAGTACTTTACAGGCACTGTTTCAAAACATGGACCCTTAAAACTGAGAGAAGTACAACTGCTCTCCTTAAGAACTTGCCACATAACTCAAAATATTACAGAAACAAGCGTGCTAAGTGGGAGATGACCTGTTTGAATCAGGAAAGGATCTATAAGAGGTTCTGGAGGTAGAATTAGGGTTCCAGCATTTCAAAAGGGCAATCCCATTCAGGTTAAACTAGATCCTAAGCAGGGGCGTGAAAAGTTGTGGCGGATGAGGAAAGTCCTGGAGCGCGGGGCTCACCCGGGTTAGTGCTGAGACACCCAGGGGTGTGGGACGGAGCGAGCCCAGCAGACAGGAGCGGCTCCAGAGGGTAGGCCGGGCTCGGCCAGGAAGGTGGAGGCGCCTGCGAGGGGGAAAGGTAGGAAAGCTGAGAGATAACACGAGCCTGCACCAGACGGAGAGAGGAGGGACCGCAGAGAGGACACAGCGGACAGGGCCGGAGAGAGATCAGGCTGGCAACCCTGGCGCCTACACTGCTGGGTGAACGCAGCCTGCGTCACCCGGCCACCTCCTCCCTCTTAGGGTTCCCCATTTTGCAGGGCCACCTCTACTTCTCTCCCTCTCGCCCCTAAATTGCTGAGCTTTCTGTCCTCAGCTTGGGCCAGGGTTCATTCTCCAGCTCCAGTTCCAGTTCCGCTTCCTACCCCGGCCCCTCAGGGTCCCTTCAGGGGCAAGCGGGCCGCAGGTCAGATCCGGGGCGGCGGTCCGCTCCACCCGCGCACCCCTATCACCGCCCCTAAGCCCTTCCACGCGTGCGCCCACGGCTCGCGGGCCAATAGGCGGGCCCTGGTGCCAGGACTAGGCCGGCTATTGGTTAGTTGAACCGTGGTGAGAGATGGTGCGGTACCGGTTCTCCGCCAGGGTGAGAGCTGTGGGCGGTTGTTAAGGCGACCGTTCGTGACGTAGGCCGTCAGGCAGAGCAGCCGCCCATTGATTGGTTGGGCAATCGGACGATCCTTTCTGATTGGTCACAGACTTGTATCTCTAAGCGTGCGTAGGTCCAGCGTTCCTACCGCTCCGCGTCTCCTTTGACTGGAGACAGAGTGCCCGCGCCCAGGTTCAGAGCCCTCTGCTATCCGGAGGTGAGGTGGGAGGCGGCTGGGAAAAGGGAGAGGGGCGAACTGGCTCGTAGTGAGACGGGCCGCGTTGGTGGCGGTTCTCGAGCATCCCCGGGCCGCGGGATCTCATCCTAACCCTCACCCTCAGCCTGAGCCCGGGGGGAGGGACTTCCCTTCCTACGTCATTCCGAACACTGAAGATCGCATGAACGGGGGCCCCCCGCCCCCCGAAATGTAGATGACGCGACGAGGGGAGTGGAGTGGGGAGCCTGTCCCGTCCCCATCATCGACCCGGGGTCAGCAGTATCGGCCGAGTCCCCACCCAGGCGCCGCTGTGCATCCGCATCTGAGAAGGGCCCGAAACGGTCTGAAAGATTATTTGCCTAGAACAGGTTGGGAGAATGCAAAGCCACTGTTGGACACGCCCAAAGATTCGAAAGAGTCGCTCCGGCTTCCGTTTTTTAATCCTAAGCGTGGAGATCTCCTTTGTACTGATGTCCTTTCATTCAAGTTTTATAGGATTTTTTGGGAGGGGGTGTGGAAAAACCATACTTTTGAGTTTCAAATATAAAACAGTCGATAGTCAATTTCTATAGTAGGAGATTAATGTACTTTTTTTTTTTTTTTTTTGAGACAGTATAGCTCAGGCTGGCCTTGAACTTACTGTGCAGCCCAGGTTGGCATCGAACTCTCGGCGATCCTGATGCCTCAGCTTCTTAAGTGCTGGGATTATAGGCGCACACCGCCACATCCGTCCCGGAATGTGCTGTCTTAATTGGTCATATTCAATATTTTAATATTTGAAGATGTGCGTTCGTAGACTTGGTGCTGAAAAGTCATCGGAAACATTTGTTTCTGGGCCGTGCTAAATAATCGTGCACAATTTCAGTGTCTCACAAAGCAGTGGATGTGCTTTTTGTTTATTTGTGAACTTCGTTTCTTCATGCAGTGTGAGACTTTTTTTTTTGATTTAGAGATAATGTTAGCAAAGGCCTGGAGAGGTCTTTGTGGATAGGCTGGATTTTGTTGTAGTGTCTTTCTTAGAATTTATAATAAACTTGGCAGAAAGGACAAATGAGAATTACTGTAGTAACATGGAGGTTAAAAATGAGCATAAATTACTATTAAGAAAACTTGTGGAAGTGTATAGCATGTGTGCTGTGCATTCTTTGTTCTCTTATGGTCTAATTTGTAGACTGGACAGATAGCCATATTATGGAATCTGCATCCTCTTTGGTTAACCCATGTGAAATTGCCTATATGTGAAATTTAGTCAGTTTTTACATATATAAATAGCAGTTTCATATGGTCACATTCAGTACTTTGTCAGAAAGAGTTGGAGCTCTAGCTCCTCAAATGCATGAAGACAGAAGTAATAACACGGAGAATCCAAGTCTCCTGCTTTTCATTGCAAGATCATGATTTTTGTAGAATGGTAGGTTGAGCAGCAGAATGCTAGATCCTACTGAGATTAAAATTGGCTGCAGGATAGGACATGATTGTTGCCTTCAAAGGGACAAGATACACTACTTAATTTGAGAATAGTATAAGATACTGAATAATGAAATATTGGAATGTGTAACAGGAATGCAGAATGGGAGAAAAGATTATAAAGTTATGATAAAATATCTTTTTCTGCAATTGGCTATATAGCAGGTGGTTTCAGTAGCAGATTGGATTGGAATTTTAAAAATTCTAGTGAACTTAAAGTATCCATACTTTTCAAAAACTTGTGAAAGGTTTGTAGTATATTTTATTCTGATAAGCAAGGTATATGTTGTATTTCCTTGTTTTTCATTTAGTAAAAGCTTATTCTTATTGCAGCGTGGTATAAATGCTGTCTATTTTTGTAGGAGCTGTCCTGTAGTGTCCTTCAACTAGTGTTGAAAGTAGAAGGATTCTGTGCAATGTAAAAGCCTTGATAATTGCAGGGAAAGGAGGAAGGTGCTCATGACCAATGAGATTGTTTTATAACTATGGCTATTTTTTACATACCTTTGTACAGTTGCTCATTATTTCCAAATAGGTGGGTTGTCTTTGTTTAGGGTGGCTGGCAGGATCATGTGTGATTTTTTCCCCCCCTAGGATGTTGAAAAGGTACCATTACACCTAGGAAAATATGTTGCAGAATTTACAGTGCTATCAGGAAATCTATTTGAGAGAAAACAGAATATTCCTAATGTGTAATTACAGGCTTCACAAAACTTTTTGTTTCTTTGAGGCCTTGAATTCACTATGTAGCCCAGGCAGCTGGCCTGGAACTCTCAGTGGTCCTCCTGGCTCAGCCTCTGGGTGCTGGGATAACAGGTATGCATCACCCCACACAGCCACAGAAAACAGATTTGTAATCAAATTGGGTTTCCTTCCTGGTAGCAATTAAGATTTTAACCCAACTGAGTTAATTTTTTAATACTGATGAGTAATATTGACTCAATTGGGAGGAACCTGGAGGAGATATGGTGATGGGAAGTTAGAAATAATTTTGACTTAGTTTTTGAACTACTTGATTTACTTTCTGGAATTTTTTTTTTTCAGCTTTAATTGAGTTTATTGGTACATTCTAGGTATACAGTACAGTTACATTCATTGTTGGGATCTTGTACCTCTACATGACAGGTCTTGCTTCTCATTTTTTCCCCTTGTCCCTGCCCTCCCTTCACCCCCTCCTCCCCTCCCCATCTACACCCACTTTTATTTCCATCTTTTCATTCTCTCACATTTTTTCTTTTCCCTTTTTAACCCTTCCCCTACCCGTCCCACCTTCCCTACACCTTTAGCTCCTTTCTTCCCATTTCTCAATGTCAGTAATCTTATTAGGATCTTCTGTATTATTGCAGATTATTCATACCAGAGAAACTATTCGGTATTTACACGTGTGCCTTATTTATTTCACTTAGGAGTATATCTTCAATATGTATCCATTTTCCTATGAATGAATCTATTTTCTCATTCTTTATGGCTGAGTAATATTCCATTTTATAGAAAAACCACATCTTTATCCAGTTTCCAACGGATGGTCAAATAGGCTGTTTCCAAGTTTTAGCTATTATAAACTGTGCCACTATAAACATGGGTGTGCATACTTATCTGTGATATGATTCTTTTAGTTCTTTTGGAAAGATACCCAGAAGAGGGATGGCTGGGTCAAATGGAATCTCTAGTCCCAGCTCTTTGAGGTATCTCCATATTGATTTCCATAGTGGTTGCACCAGTCTGCACTCCCACCAACAATGGAGAAGGGTTCCTTTCTCCCCACAACCCCGCCAACATTTGTTATTGTGTGATTTCTTGATAGCAGCTACTTTCTGGAATATTGATGCAAGTGATCCTTTAGACAAGTTTGTAGAATTTTAAAATTTTAAATGTGAGAAGTTCAGTGGAAATCATTGTGAACATCTAGCTTCTAATGAAGCTTTTACTTAATAAGTATGGACCAAATCTAAGATACGTTCAAAGCCTTCTAATACTTTAAATCCAAGTCCCTACTAATTAAATATAAACTATTTTCTTCATTTCCAATTTGTTGAACAATGCTAAATATTTGAGTGCAAGATACTGAAGGGTAAAATCAGATTCAGGATGGGAGTTGAAAAACATGAATATACATAGGTACATGCCATATTTATATACCTCTGTGACTTTTAAAATTATGACCCACAGTAAGAAATGTGGGGGCTGGGGGTTTAGCTCAGTGGTTCTGCTGCCTGCTTTGCAAGTGTGAGGTCCCGAGTTCAAGCCCCAATACCAAAAAGAAGAAGAGGAGGAGGAGGGGGCAGGAGAGGGGGAAGGAAGAAAAAAAGAAATGTAGTTATGTTGGAAGCCAGAATAATACATACTTACATAGTTTTGTCAGACCTGCTGATACAGGACTATAATCCCAGTACTCTGGAGACTGAGGCAGGAGGAACACCATGAGTTTGAGGCAAGCCTGGGCCACATAGTGAGTTCAAGGCAGCTTGATCTACATACATAGCATGACCCTGTCTCAAAAAAGTAAATAAACAAATAAATAAATAAGGGTTTAGCTCAGTGGTTCCACCTCCTACTTTGCAAGCGCAAGGTTCCAAATTCAATCCCCGGTACCAAAATAATAATAATAAAATACAGTTTTGTGACACTTGCACTTTCGAGAAATAAAACCTTCCCATTCCACATGTCTCACCCAATTTGTTATTATATTATTTTCTATCTTATTTTTAAAAGATTGTTCTTACAGTCTTAAAATGCCCAAATTTATCCAGTGAAGGGTTGAGATGTGTAGTTTGAAAATCAGTGCTTGGCTGCTGGTTTGGTGTGGTGTAAATGTAGTGAACATGGAGTGATGCAGTGAGAGATGATAGGACTAGGTAACTGGTTTTGTTCCTAAAAGCTTTTTTCTTTCCCAGCCATTTAGATTGTGCTTTCTTTTACTGAATTTGTTATCTTTGAACTTTAATAGATGAGTCACATTTTTAGTGAATGTGAGATTTGACTGCTTGCTACAGTAACAGTTGTTTATCGATGCTTATGGATAATTAATATGCTTTATCATAGACATTAATTTTAGTGTAAGATCTAACACTTGCAAGAGTTTTTTGTACATTCCAAAGGCTTTGTAAGATTTTTTTGAAAATCAGAATAGCAGAATTGATTATTTAGTCCACAAATATGGGGAGATAGATGTAGTTTTTGGTAGTCATTAGATTAAGATTCTTTTACATGTTGTGTTGGGAATCTTTTTGACTATTGTAGACATATTTCATCCAGCCTTTCTTTTCTCCTGCTGTCTTAGTTTTGGTTAGTTGGGAAAGTTTAGGAGCATTTCTCATCTGATACTGTTCTATTGGTCTTCTAGCCGTATTATTATTGATGATTCTGCTTGAAGCAAAGCAGCCATCACAGCAGAATCCTTACCCTTTTCTGTAATGCAGAAACATCTACTAAACTAGGAAAGACTTCTCTGGTGACAGCAACACTAGGAAGGTTGATTAAAACTCATTTTGCAGGTGATATTAGTATGTTTAGTAGAATGAAATAGTATAATGGGTTCCTGCCCTAGAGGAGCTAATAAATTACTATGATTTACAGGACACTTAGCAAGTAGATTCTTTGGTATTACCTTTTGGTAACAAGAATGTAGATGGGGAAGAGGGTGTTTTATGTCCAAGTCATTAGGAAAAATCTCCATATTTGTTTCTTATTTTTGTTTTCAGCTTTATTGCCCTCCTCCTCAGCCCAGATAGTAAAAAGCGCTGAGGTATGTATTTGGTGTATAGCAAATGCTTGGATTCATAAGTTTTTAGGAGATGTGAATAATAAAGGATTTAAGTGTTTGAGTAAGGAAGTAGTGAGGGTTCTTTTAATTTACTTTTATAATTTCCCCAAATTATAAAGAACACTATTAAATGGTTGGGTAGTGGACACTATGTGTACAAAGCAGGGCTGATACATAGCACACTTTTCCCTAAACGTTTTTCTTAAAAGCCCAGAGAGGGAGCTGGATGCTGAGTATTCCCACTTGATGTCCCTCCAGGACTCACGGCTTCTACAGCTGCAATGCTGTCGAGACTCTTCCGCATGCATGGCCTCTTTGTGGCCTCCCACCCCTGGGAAGTCATCGTGGGGACAGTCACACTGACCATCTGCATGATGTCCATGAACATGTTCACTGGTGACAACAAGGTTTGTGGTTGGAATTACGAATGTCCAAAATTTGAAGAGGTTAGTAAAGTTAATTTCTTATTGACTAAATTATATTTTCTATTTCTAAAGACTATCTCCTTTTAGAGACTATATAACTAAAAAGTCATATTTTTTTAAAGCTATATTTTTATTTTAGTATTCATGAGCTTATCTCAAATTTCCATCTATTTGCATAGTATAGAATGTACTGGAAATATTTTTGAGAAGTATTTCTTCTCAAAATTGACTTTATTTGAGAACTACAGTTTTTAGAAGTGACTATCGTGAAAAGTTATTACAATAAATTGACTTAATTTGTTTGGTATTTTTTATGATACACATTATACCTATACTTATATTCTCATGACAATATGTAAACTAATGACACATACTGCATTCTTTTTTTTTTTTCTTTTTTTGTTGGTACCAGGGTTCAAACTGAGGACCTTGCACTTGTGAGGCAGGAGAAGTGCCACTGAGCTAAATCCCCAGCCCAAAATTCTTACTTTTGATTGTTTATTTTAAAAGTCAGAGCTATTGGAGTTTTCTTTTCTCTCTTTCTCAATAGGATGTTTTGAGCAGTGACATTATAATTCTAACAATAACACGATGCATAGCGATCCTGTATATTTACTTCCAGTTCCAGAATTTACGTCAACTTGGATCAAAATATATTTTGGGTAATGCTTCCATATATTGAACTTTATATGACATATTTTTGATTGGATATGGAAATAGACCTGTTTGTTCTCAAATGATGTGTTTAGAAATGTGTGTACTGCTGAAAGCATGTTAAATGTAGTCAGTGGTTTCCGTTCTCATTACTGAGAATTAGATGTTCTAAAATTTGAGACCTAAGTAATCTGTAGAAAAATATTTTCTTAATCTCAGAATCTTGTATGAGACTGTTATTTTTAAAATAAAGGATAAAGTTTTTTCATTGTTCAATTTCGTCATTTCAGGTATTGCTGGCCTCTTCACAATTTTCTCAAGTTTTGTATTCAGTACAGTTGTCATTCACTTCTTAGATAAAGAATTGACAGGCTTAAAGTAAGTATTTACACGTAAATGTACTTTCTTTTAAAAAGATACATTTAAGAACTTTTATTCCTTCTGCTGGAAAAGTAATACATTTTCAAAAGTTGAGAAAATATGGGGAAATTTTTCATGTAATCTTATTGTTACCTGGTTTTTATGACTTAAACATTTTGGTATCTATTCTCCCATTTGTTTTGTACTTAAATTTTTGGAGATCATACTATGTATGCTGTTTTATAATTTCTTTTTGTCTAGTTCATAGTTGATCAATGTCTTTCTGTATCTGTAATGTTGAACTAAATGTTAGCAATGGCTGTATAATATTCTGTATCAGTATTTTGTAGTTTATTAATCCTCTGTTGTTGGACAGTTTTCATTAATAACACTGGTGACTATCTTTGTACCTATTTCTTATTCTATTCATAGTTAGTTCCCTTAGGATATATTTTGTAGGCATAAGACAGTGGTTTTGCTTTTTAAGAACCTTGAATTTTTGGGGAGTTATCTGTTTTAGTGTTAATTGTTGCTGATTTACTCTCCAGAAATTTTTTTTAGTTTATCCTTCTACGCATATTGATTAATGAACAAGATTTTTGTATGCATTACATTTTTTAATATAAGATTTCTTTTATCAAGTACCCTACTTTCCTGTAAAGTTGCCAAACTGAAATGTCCATTTTAACATTAGAAGTTTTTTATTTTTTGTTTTTTTCTTTGGTACAAGCCCTTACACTTGCAAGGCAAATGGCAGTACCTCTGAGCCAAATCCCCGGCCCTTAAAAGCATTTTTAAGAAACATAAAGAGGATCATAAAAGTATGGGTGGAAGATTTGTTTTAAAAAGGCTTTTTAAACCATAATTACCTCTATTAAATGTACTACCATCTCATTTGTTTCCAGTGAAGCATTGCCCTTTTTCCTGCTTTTGATTGACCTCTCCCGAGCCAGTGCATTAGCCAAGTTTGCCCTAAGTTCGAATTCACAGGTGAGTGCTACTTTGAAGTCAGTAATGTGAATAGTATTCCTTTTTTTAAGTTTATTTATATGAGTGGGAAGGACTAGTAGTGTTTCTTTTTTTTTTTTAAACAATGGACTCCTGCTTTCTATTGTTTATTTATTTGGTACTGGGGATCGAACTCCGGTCCTTGTGCTTGTGAAGCAGGCGGTGGAACCACTGAGCTAAATCTGCAGTAGAGTTTCTTCATAACTCAAGATTCAGGGATTGCCCAGAACTAAGTTTAATTCTCAAGTTCTAAGACTTGGTCTGTTTAAGTGCCCCAGGAGTAGTCCCATTTATCTAACAAATCAAATGTAATAGTATGCAACTAGAATTTTGAGTATTCCCGTTTTCACTTTTCAGAGTTTTCTGAAATTATAGTGAAATGACTTGGTTACTATCTACCTAGTAAAACAGAGCAGGAAAATATTTAATTAGCTAAGCCCTCAGGGTAGTCTCCTTTTTAAACCCCTTAATTAATACTAGCATTTTGTTAAGTTTCATCTTGATGTTCATTAGTCACTTTTAAAAATCCAACTTCAGGGCCAGGGATTTAGCTCAGTGGTGCCATCACTTCCCTTGCAAGTGCACGGTTCTGAGTTCAATTTCCGGTAACGCAAAAATAAAATAAAACCCAACTTGATTTGCTAATTTTGCATCAGAGGATCTTGAATATGAAATAACTTGTATGGAGCTAGAGGTTTAGTTTCTTGGTCTTTCACTTTCTGGCATGCAGTAGCCTCTGGGTTTGATCTCCAGCACAGGAAGGAAAAAAACCTCATATTTCTGCCATGATTATATATTCGAATGTTTATGACCTCTGAGAATATAGAGAAGGAAGTGATAATAGGTTTCACTGCAGTGGCATGACCTCATAAAAATTGAAACTAAGAGCTTCTGTCCATGATAGCCAAATAATAAGATGTTGTAAGATTTAATTATGTGGCATTTAAATGACAGGATTAAGATGCTAACTCAAAGGAATATTCCCTGGCAATGTATCATTCATTGGTAAGGGAAGTAGACTACTCTGTCCTTTTTGTTCAGTACCAGGGATTCAACTCAGGATCTTGCACTTGCAAGGCAGGCGTGGTGCTACTGAACTAACTCCCCTGCCCTCTGTGTGTCTTTTTTTTTTATGATCCTCTATGCTTTTTGTCTTGAACATGTTTTTTTTCCTTTGAACAATGAACTAGATTTTAGTTGAGTCCTAAGATGTGTGCACATTCTGGTTTTTTGCTTTTTGTTTTATTTTTTTAATACTGTAAACTAAACTCAAGGCCTTTGCAGTGAACTATATCTTCAGCCCCCCCCGCACCCACTTAAGTTTTTTGGTACCAGGGATCAAACTCAAGACCTTGCACTTGTGAAGCAGGTGGCGGAACCACTGAGCTAAGTCCCCAGTCCCTCTTTAGCCCTTTTTAATTTTGAGACAAGATTTTGCTCAGTTGCCTAAGCTGAGCTCAGACTTGAGATATTCCTGACTCAGCCTCTCATAGTTCTGGGATTGCAGGTGTATTCACCATGCCCAGAAGCAAGCGTGCGGGTTCACACTCTCTCCCACTCTCCCTTTCTCCCCCTCTCCCCCTCCCCTCCCCCTCCCCTTTCTTCCTTCTCCCCTGGGGTCCTTATACTTGCTGGGCAGGAGATGGAACCACTGAGCTAAATCCCTGGCCCTTTATTTTTTATTTGAGACAGGGTCTCACTAAGTTAGGTTGCCCAGGCTGTGAACTTTAGATCCTCCTGCCTAAACCATCTGTGTGTTGGGATTGCAGGTCTACACTGTCAGACTCGGCTGTCTAATACTTTTACATTACCTGTGCCTTGCTTTCATTGATGTGTTTCCTCTGTGTTTTAGGATGAAGTCAGGGAAAACATTGCTCGTGGAATGGCCATTTTAGGTCCCACATTCACCCTCGATGCTCTTGTGGAATGTCTTGTCATTGGAGTTGGTACCATGTCAGGTTTGTAAGCAGAATCTGACACATTTTAAAATAAGTATTTTATCAGAACAAAAACGAAGTCTTGCATTATTTATCATTAAATCTGATTTTTATGTTACTCTTAAATACTTAAACTTTTATGAGTGTGTGTATATCTGACCATGTGTCTCTTGTGAAAATTTGGTAAGGTTGGTTACTGGTTTATTCTTTACTCTTATGATCTTATCTATGTTCGACTTTGTGGTATTTTTAGGATTTTGTGTTAGTTTTTAACCAAAGTTGTATTCCAAGGCAAATGTAGAGTATAGTCCGGCCCTTCCAGCCCTTGCTGTTGTCTAGACTAGATTAATGGCCGGTTCCCTATGTTTTGATTATCAAGCAGGAGATAGCGCAAGAGTCAGGAATTGGGATAGATCTAAATTCAATCCACCTAAGAAAGAAGGTAGTTGGGGAGATTGAACAAGATAGTAAACAGTACATCTTAATCAACACAGTTCCTCATCCATAATTGGATAGTAGAGTATTAGATATTGAATATCACACACAGGACTTCATCGTATAGAATAAAAATTATGGCTTGGCATGGAAATTTACCAGAATGGATGTCTCCCACTGTTGAGATTTTTCTCGTCATTAAGACTGGATGATACGGCTTCTTGGGAAGACCATAGCTAGTTAACTATTGTTCTTGTTTGCTTCCCAATAAGGGAGCTTATTCATTCAGAAATAAAGTATCTTTTTTTTTTTGAAACAGTGTCTTACTTTGTAGTTCAGGCTGGCCCTGAACTCATGTGGCTCAGGCTGGCCTCAAACTCATAGCAATCCTCCTCCCTCTGCCTCCTGAGTGCTGGAATTACAGGTGTAAGCCACCATGCCTGGCTAAATAAGGTATCTTTTAAGGCAGTAGTTGATTGTTTCTTCACTGGCTAATTTATTCAATATATAATGGTTCTACATTTCTGACGGTACGTTATTGTTTAATTATTCTATCATTCAATAGATTTTTTTTAAGCAAAGAAAATATTTTTTTGAGTTGAGCATGGTACATACTCCTGTAATCCCAGCACTTCAGAGGCTGAGGCAGGAAAATCGCTATAAGTTTAAGGCCAGCCTGGGCTATATATCAAGTTCAAGTCTAACCTGAACTACACAGTAAGACTGTGTCTCAAAAAAAGAAAGAAAATACTTTTTATGAGTTTATTTTAGAAATGTACATATCTGGTGCTGAGATATGGATACATAGTAGAACACAAAGGTTTAATCTCTAGCATTAAAATTTTTAGAAAAAGGCAAGAAAGGAAGAAAATAATTTACATGACTAAAAATTCACTGTTTTATTTTTTGTACAGCGTGTTGAACCCAGGGCCTTCACAGTGAGCTACAGCCATGGCCCTTTATTTTACTTTATTCTTGTTTTGAGATAAGGTCTTACTTTGCCCAGGTTGGGCTCTAACTTGCAGTCTTCCTGACTTAGCCTCCCAGAGCGCTAGGATTACAGACAGGAACACCCTAGTCTGATAAGTATGATTTGACAAAACTTTGTAATCCTACTATCAAGTAAAATGTTTCTCACGTGAAAATATACCTATGTGATTTTCTTCAAGCAGAATATATGAGAGGATGAAGATTAGGTAGGAAGTCCTAGCAGGTCATGAAACCAAGATTTATTCATCTGAAAGTGATGGCAGGAAGTAGTAGGATTATGAGTTTTGTCATGATATGGTGTGAGAGATGGACAAAGTATATTAATCGGTTTGTTTCAAAAGGTAGAGATCTTACCTGTCATGTAAAGGTACAAGATCCCAATAATGAATGTAACTGTACTGTATACCTAAAATGTATCAATAAACTCAATGAGAAAAAAAGCTAGAGATCTTGAAAACTACACAAAAATGAAGAATTTGGCTTAGGACAGAAAAGGACAGATTGAACACATAAGTAGGAAAACTCAAGGCTTTATGCTTGCTTTTAGTAACCCTGAGAAAAAGCCGTTTTGAAAGGGAAAGCCCAAGTTGAACTCTAGCTGTGTGATACAGTGCATGCTGATTGTGTGTGAGGCCTTGAGAGAGAGAGGGGCTGTTGTTTCTCAGAGTCATATGAGTCAGTGCTGTATCTCTGTATCTTAGGGTAGTAGAAATGGTACAGAGAAACTTACTTTTGGACAGTAAGGACTATCTAGAATACATACTGCAACAACATGAGGCATTGTATATGGAGAGAAACAGTTTGTAAAAGGAGTGGGCAAGTATTGTTTTGATAATCAAGAATTTGAAAAGTTTATATTGAGCTATTGTTTTAATAGGTTGGTTCACCATGATTTTGCTATTTTAAATTTCTACATTTGAGAGTAACATGAAATTTTGAAAAGGTAGTAATGAGTGCTTTTGTTCTGTTCTGTTAAATGTCTCTTACAATTAGAAAATAAAATATACTTTTTTTCTTTTTGGTAACAGGGATTGACTGTGTGCTTGCAAAACAGGCGGCAGAACCACTGAGCTAAATCCCTGGGCCTGTTTTGAATACTAGCTTTTAGCAGTTTTAATTAGAAAAGGGAATCATTTTTATTTATATTGGAAACATTTTTTAGATATTTTGTAGGGAAATATTTGTTAATTTTCAATCTTGAATTATTTTGTATTCTGTTGTCTTTCTAAACGGATCAGTGAAGTAACCAAAATTATTATTGTAAGAACATCAGTAAGTGTTACCGAAATTATGTGGAAGTTAGAATTTAGTGCTACACAAGAAATACTTCAGTTGATACTGTATCAGGAGTGGCATAGCTGGCAGTAAGTTCTATAAAAAGTCCTTGATGCAAAGGCGAATTGCTTTCATGGTAAAAGTGGGATTAAGCCAGTCGTATAAATTGGAGGCATAGACATTCCTCCACTAGAATACTTGGTTCCCTGCACGCTTGTCTTCAAATAAGATACTTCCTTTGGACCAAAGCGTATTACAGTTGTCTATCAGATGTGAATTAAATACTACTTCTGTGCCTGATGCCATGTTGTTGGGGGACATGGAGAAGACAGTTATTTTCCCTTAAGGAACTAAGAATTCCGTAGTTACTTCTGCTGTCGTATAGGCCTTGGCATCAGCTTTGAACTGCTAATTCTGTTGCCTGTAAATGGAAAAGAGCTTAATGTAGTGATATTTTCATGTATTTGTTCACTGGAAGGAAGTCCTTGTGGTATATGCAGCTTCAAAAATCTACATGCTTTCCTAGTTACACATATTTTTTTTCCTCCATCCAGGGGTACGTCAACTCGAAATCATGTGCTGCTTTGGCTGCATGTCAGTTCTTGCCAACTACTTCGTGTTTATGACTTTTTTCCCAGCTTGTGTGTCCTTGGTATTGGAGGTAAGAACAATTCTTCCATGAAGACTTTGTAAAAGAATATTGTTATATCATTTCACCCAAATAGAATGAGTACCTTCTAATGTAACATTGACATACTTTGCAGCTTTCTCGGGAAAGCCGTGAGGGTCGTCCAATTTGGCAGCTCAGCCATTTTGCCCGAGTTTTAGAAGAAGAAGAAAATAAACCAAATCCTGTAACTCAGAGGGTCAAGATGATTATGGTAATGACATAGGTTTGATTTTTTCCCCTTCAGTATCTTTGATCTAAATGTCATCCTTATAATTTTGGGGTTTTCTTTTTTCGCTTCCTGTTTTTGTATACTTGACTTTCAGTGATATTCCATTGTCTTTTTTCTTAACTCAGTTCTTTACTACTTTTAAGTATCCTGGTCATTATTAGTCTTTCTACTCTAAACAGATTTTTCAAGTTCCTCCACCTGTCTTTGAAACCTGTTTTTCGGAATGTTTCTGTAGTCACACTACTTTATTTAGTCACATAGTAAACCTGCAGGCTTTCTTACGGCAAGGGAAGGCCATGGAAGATAGTGTGTGACTGTCCAGTTGATAGGGATGGGAACTTTAGGTTCTCAGAGAATAATATAATTGAGACAAAGGATACATAATTTTTTTCATTTTATTTCAGTCATTAGGCTTGGTCCTTGTGCATGCTCACAGTCGCTGGATAACTGATTCTTCACCTCAGAACAGTACCACAGAACATTCCAAGGTTTCTTTAGGGCTGGATGAAAATGTATCCAAGAGAATTGAACCGAGTGTTTCCCTGTGGCAGTTTTATCTTTCCAAGTGAGTTAACTGAAATCTACTATACAGCATATTAATCACAGTATTCTGTGCTACTATAAGTTTAGGTTTTACCTTTTATATTGCTAAATAATAACATATTTGCTTGCTTTTATTTAGAATGATCAGCATGGATATTGAGCAAGTTATTACCCTAAGTTTAGCTCTCCTTCTGGCTGTCAAGTATATTTTCTTTGAACAAGCAGAGACAGAATCTACACTCTCATTAAAAAACCCTATCACATCTCCTGTGGTGACGCAAAAGAAAGTTCCTGACAATTGTTGTAGACGTGAACCTATGCTTGTCAGAAACAACCAGAAATTCCAGTTAGTGGAAGAAGAAACAGGGATAAACCAAGAAAGAAAAGGTAATATCTTACTCTCTTTGAGTTCTTTTATTGGCGATTTATCACTAAGTAGAATCTATTTAAAATTTGTGTTCAGTGTTTTGAGATTTCTTTTTATCTCTTCAACAGGTGAAGTTATAAAACCCTTAGTGACTGAAACTGACACCTCAAACAGAGCTACATTTGTTGTTGGTGGCTCCTGCTCGCCTGATCCTCCATCAGACCTGGTGACATGGGAGCCTGAAATTCAACTTCCCAGGGAGCCTCGGCCTGCTGAAGAATGTTTGCAGATACTTAGGAATGCAGAAGTAAGGATGGTAGTATAGACTCAAGCTTGGAATTGTTCTTTGAAAGAATTGTTCTTTTTTATTGCAGGAAGAACTGCTGAGTCCTACTAAGATCTAGGCACTGTTACATGGTGTACAGATACTCTGTTTTCCCTAGAGACCTTTAAGGCAGGTGGAATTATCTCCATTTTTCAGATGAGAAACCCAAACCTTGAGAAGTTTAAGTAATTTGCCAAATACTCTGAGGTGATGATAAAGTTAAAAGCATGGTACAAGATTTTCTGATTCCAGAGCCAGAAAGTAAAAGTTTATTATAGTTTCTGTTACTGCTAAGCAACCATTATATTCTCAAAAAGTGTGTTGAGGACTCAGAAATGTTTATACATGTAAACTTCAAAGTATAAGAAAGTTTTTTTTTTGCTTTTTAAAAATTTATTAGTTAAATTTAATTTTATTACTTACTGGAGATCTAGGGATTGAACTCAGGGTCTCACACATGCTAGGCAAGTGTCCCTTTTTATAAATCTTATTTTGAAACAGGGTCTCACCCACGCTGGCCTTGAATTTGTTATGCTCCTACCTCCTAGAGATGTGTCTCAGCACACCTAGTGAAATTTTTTTGTTTTGTTTTACAAGCTTAAATTCATGATGAAGAGGGCTTTCTTTCCTGAGATTTGGACAGGGTGTTCTGCCTCTTATGACTGTATGGGTCCATTCATGCTTTAACACAGATTATTGTACCATCCATATACTGTTTATTCCTCCCAACCCTACCTCTTTTTTGCTATGCTGGGAACTGGATTCTGACTAGGCAAGTGCTCTACCACTGAGCCGTCTCTTTATCCCACTCTTTGCCGAAAATTTTTTTTTTTTCATATTTCTTGGCAAGGTACCCTTTTCTCCCAGCTTTATTAAGATATATTTGACAAGATTGTATATATTTAGGATGTATAACTTGGTGTATTTTTTTTCCATTGAGTTTATTGGTACTTTTTAAGTATACGGTATAGTTATATTCATCATTGGGACCTTGTACCTTTACATGGCAGGTCCTGGTTCCCATTTTTTCCCATACCCCTGCCCTCCCTTCACCCCCTCCTCCCTTCTCTATTTACAAAGACTTTGTTTCCGCTTTTTCCCTCTTCTCATATTTTTTCTTTTCCCTTCTTTCCTTTCCCTTACCCTTCCCACTTCCCCTACTCCTTTAGTCCTTTTCTTCCTATTTCACATTATACAACTTGATTATTTTGATATAAGTTGTCAGTATTCACCACAGTTAAGCTGATTAATATGTTTGTTACCTCACATTGTTACCTTTTCCTTCCGTGTGAGAACATTAAGATCTACCTTCTTAGCAGCTTTCTAGCTCATGTTGCCTGTGGTAACTTTTGTCACTATTAAAAGGTCTCCAGACCTTATTTATCCTATATTACTGAAACTTTGTATGAACATCTGTTCCAGCCTTTCATTTTCTCTTCCCCTCATCTGCTAGCAATCATTTTACTCTACTTCTGTGTTTTTCTGTTTTAGATTCCACATATAAATGAGATCAAACATTCTTAGTTTTTCTGAGGTGAATTTGTATATGTACCTAAGAGGTGTGTTTGTTTTTACATGTGTACCACAACTTACAAAATGGGTGTTAGAATTTACAATTACAGGTTTCTTTTCTGTGAACCTCAGTTGGACATTTTAATGTTTTGACCTTGTTTAGTTTTCATAATTTTATTTTTTATTTTTATTGTTACCGGGGATCAAACTTGGGCCCTTGTGCTTGTGAGGCAGGCGGCAGAAGAACCTCTGAGCCAAATCTCCAGCTGACAGCTTTTACAAATTTTTATGAAGACTTTGCTTTCATTTTATTATTTCTGCTCAAATAATCTTCTTCTTTAACATGTTCACAACGGTGCTATAGTTTGTCTCACTGCTGTGCAACTCTGAGCCATTGTTGGTACATGCATGGCTGTCCCATCTGGGGCATGGGACATGTGTTGAAAAAAACTAGGACCTTTCAGTTGTCTTTTTATGGTACTTGTTTAACTCTTGAGAGCTGCCTTCTCAACCCTAAACACCTTAGAGTAAGTACTCAGACTTGTACATAAAAAAATCAGTTGTGTAACATTCATATTTAATGTATTATATACTGTATGTAAATGAATACTGGTTGGTTTTCATTGATCAAGCTATGGAGGCATTTAAATCTATATCACAGATGAGATCCTCGGTATGCACACAGCAGCCCTTCAGCAGAGTAGGGAAGCTGGACTGAGCTTGAGTCTTCCGTTCTCGGTTTGTCTCTTTGTTGCCTCCCAAAATGAGCTGGTCCAGAGGGGGATTGAATATGAACTAGCTCCGTGTTAACATCTTTAAGTTTGGCATGTTCTGCTTTACCATAATTTAAGTAGCTTAACATTGTGATACTTTAGACTTTGCTTTTTGTCTTCCATTTAAAGGGGTTTGGTTTTGATGAGCAAGGTTTGTTAGCTGAATGGTTCTGGTTTTTTTTTTTTTTTTTTTTTTAACTGGGAATCAGGCTTGGGTCCTTGTGCCTGAGAGGCAGGCGGTGGAACCAATGAGCTAAATTTCTGGCCCTGGTTCTGTGTTTTTTAATAAGAATATTTGAAGTTTGAAACTTCCAACTTGACAGAAGTAGTATATTTATAGATTGACTGCTAATATATCTAGTCAACATCAAAATCTTTTTGGATTAGGCAAAATTCTGTGTGCTTGAATGTGTTTTATCTGCATTAGTTAATCATATACTTTGTTTGAAGACAGATCCCAATTCTGGGTTCCTATTGTCACCTTGGCTACTTTCTCTTCTCTAGGTGATCATACCTTTAGAGCAAATATAATACCTGCCTTCATTCTTCTAAATAGAAGTACTGGTTTCTCTTCTGAAACTCCCAGTACAGACTGCATTGTCAATTTGCAGTTAGGAGTTCTTGTTTATGATCATCTGTTTATGTGACTTAACTCCATCAAGCTCTAAGGCTGAGTTTCTTTCTTTTTTTTTTTTTTTCTCTGTTTCTGAGTTTATTTCTTGAGAGTGCTTTGAATTTAGTTGGTACTTAGAAAGTTTTAAAAGAAGAAGGAATTTACCCTGGTAATACATATATCATATAGCTAACGTTCATCTTAATCAGATGAATGTTAATGTCTGAAAGACTGACTTTCTTGTGATTATTGACCCATGAGCTGCCAATGTAGTGGAGGTGAATGATGTATATGTGTATATGCATGTATTGTACTATGAGCATAATGAAGAGACAGCGTATAGACCAGGGGAAGATGTGAGCTGATCTTCCTAATACATAAAGAGCTCCTCCAAATTGATACCAAAATTTTAGTCAACCTCATTTTAAGAGAAATGCAAGTAATGCTGGGTACTTGAGATATTTTTCTTTATCAACTTGTCAATAATCCAGAAATTTAATCACATTCTGTTAAGGTGGTGAGGAAGGCATTTTCTTATGTTGCTGGTGAAAAGAAAAGATAATTTACCAATATTTATTAAAATTAAGAGTTTTAAATTTTATAAATTTACAAATGTATATACCCTCTGACTCAACAGATAATTGAATGTAGGTAGCAAAGAACTGGACAAATGATGGGCATGGTTAGGAGGAAGGCTTTGTTGTATATCTTTTTTTTTTTTTTTTTTTTTTGGTACCAGGGCTTGAACTCAGGTCCTTGTGCTTGCAAGGCAGGCCACCGAACTGCTGAGCTAAATCTCTGGCCCTGTTGTGTATCTTTTTTATATTTAGTTTTTTTAAAACTATGAATACATTACCTGTTCACAAATTTTAAATGAAACTTTATAAAAAATTTACTAGAATCTGCCACCTGCCTCACAAGGTCCTAAGTTTGATCGCTGGTACCCCCCCAAAAATTTTTTTTACTGAATCTAAACAGTAGCTGTAAAATCAAGCACACTTGACCGTTGCTAAATTACATGTATTTTTTTTTCCTGTATGTTAATGCAAGTCTGTCTTGGTTTTGTAAAATTACCCTGATGATTTTTATAGTATTTTTATCTGGCATTATTTATATTAAGTGAATAGTTTGTTTGTTTTGTTTTGGTTTGAGACAGGTCTCACTATGTAGTTGAGTGAGACTGACCTGGACCTCACTGTGTAGCCCAGGCTGGTCTCAAACTCACAGCAATCCTCCTGCCTCAGCCTCCTGAGTGCTGGGATTTATAGGCGTGTGCTACCATGCCTGGCTAGTGAATTGTTTATTTTGCAGAGATATCTTTGTATTAAAAACTACAGTGATATAATAGAAAAGATCTATGTGTTTTCATTTAGCATCATGAATAATACGAAGCATAATCTTGTGAAGTCATTTCTGTGTCTGACCTCCCTCCTCTTCTTTTCCATTCTTTTAGAAAGGTGCAAAATTCCTTAGTGACGCTGAAATCATCCAGTTGGTTAATGCAAAGCACATCCCAGCTTATAAATTGGAGACTCTGATGGAAACCCATGAACGGGGTGTATCTATTCGCCGACAGTTACTTTCCAGAAAGCTTCCAGAGCCTTCCTCTTTGCAGTATTTACCTTATAGGGATTATAATTACTCCTTGGTATGTTTTTTGTTTGTTAAGACAGTTTGCTTTGTAGCTTTTTAGTCTTTTTTTTTCCTTGACTGGTTGTTTTAAATGTACAGTTATATAAAACACTGTCATTTTTGAAGTATTTGTAATTTTGTCTACCATTTATGATATAGGCCTTAGAAATTCAAATATTTTCCTGTTTTTATAGTCATTACTGGAAGATATTAGTATTTGAACCACTTTAAAGAGTAAACTAGGGGCTGGGGATTTAGCTCAGTGGTACTGCCACCTGCCCTGCAAGCACAAGGTCTGAAGTTCAATTCCTGGTACCAAAAAAAAAAAAAAAAAGTAAATTAAAAATTTTTAATTGAAAAATATACAAATGGATTAAGAAGAATGTTATTAAAGACAAAACTGAGATGAGTCACTATGTATTTCGAATACAGATATTCATTTGCTGTCTGACTTGATCTTGTAGGTAATGGGAGCTTGTTGCGAAAATGTTATTGGGTATATGCCCATCCCTGTTGGAGTTGCAGGACCTCTGTGCTTGGATGGAAAAGAATTTCAAGTTCCAATGGCAACGACAGAAGGTTGTCTTGTGGCCAGCACTAATAGAGGCTGCAGAGCAATCAGTGTAAGTTGGAATTTTATCTATTTGTCATTTTAAAAATAAACACATGGCAAGGCAGCCAGAGCAGATTTGGATAAGAGAAAGGACACATTTGGGGATAAGTAGAAGTATTTTCAGTATTAATAAGTGTTTCTCTAATAATCCGCATAGCTTGGTGGAGGAGCCAGCAGCCGAGTCCTTGCGGACGGGATGACTCGTGGCCCAGTGGTGCGTCTTCCTCGTGCTTGTGACTCTGCAGAAGTGAAGGCCTGGCTTGAAACCCCTGAAGGGTTTGCAGTCATAAAGGAGGCCTTTGATAGCACCAGCAGGTGTGTGAGTGGGTTTATTTGTACATTTACATTTATTTCAAAACCACTGCTGTTTTCTCTGATTGCTAAATGTTATGTAATATATTGCCTGCTTGATATAACAACATAATCAACCTTTGAATCCAGTAATTTAGAATGAGTAATGCTTATTCTTGGTTAGAGAATGTTGATTCAAATTAATGCCCTTCTGGAGACAAACTAATAAAAAAATATGAGAATGAATTTAATAAATTTAATAAATATAAATATAACTGCCATTGTGGAGAACTGTCTTTGGAGAAAGACTTGCTAAGGAGTATAGAAGCATTAGTGTAGCAGGTTTACTTTGAATGCAGAAGTTGAAATTTACAAAGACGCGTAGTCATTGTAGATGATAACCTCTGTATAATTCATTCAGGCTAGTCTTTGTTTTCCTTTGGACTTTTTAAGCTTACTAAGAAATGACTGTCTACAGCCCACCAGTCTTCAGCATCTAAGAATTAGGCAGAATTGAAATAGTATCTCTCATATATTGTTTTGTTAGAGAAGAAAATCAATAATCTTAATGAGCTTTCTTATAAGCATGAAGTAACTAGATTTTAAGATAACTCTCATCTTAAAAGAGTGAAATAAAATCTTTGCTTTTGTTCACAGATTTGCACGTCTACAGAAACTTCACACCAGTATGGCTGGACGCAACCTTTATATCCGTTTCCAGTCTAAGACAGGCGATGCCATGGGGATGAACATGATTTCAAAGGTGAGCATGGCTATAGTGTATCTGAAAAGAAAGAAGTTGCAGACTTAATAACTCTACACTTAGAAAGTTATATTTTATGTTACATGTATTTTACTACTGTTAAAAAATGTTTTAAATTCCAGTAATATGATTTGGATTATTGAAGTGTGAGTTATTAGTTCAATTAATTTGTTGGAAAGCTTATTTATATTTTATGTAATATAAATCCAGTGACTCTCCATTAACAAGATTGACTTTGGCCATCTGCTTTTCTTTATAGACTAAGTAGGACTTCCAAATAACAGTTTAATAACTAAAAGAGGCAGTTATTACGCATTGATTATCAGTTGAATTACTCTATAGCAACATACAAATATTCCTTACATTCTTATTGAGCATTTTAAAAATTTTTATTTTTCTCTGCATCCTGTTTATTGGTGACTAAAAACAGCTTGGTTTTCATACTTGCCAAGAAACATACAAGTAATGTATATGTGAGAAACTTAACTGGAATGCTTGAAAGAATAGCTGTTACCTTGTGTTATGCTTCTCTGATACAATGTATTCAGCCATATTTCATAGGTACAAATAAATCCTTCTGACCTATGCTTTACACATTCTAACATCTTTTTTCCCACATTTTGGCTTGTCAATAGGGCACTGAGAAAGCACTTTCAAAACTACATGAGTATTTCCCTGAAATGCAAATTCTAGCAGTGAGTGGTAACTATTGTACTGACAAGAAGCCTGCTGCCATAAACTGGATTGAGGGAAGAGGGAAGACTGTTGTTTGTGAAGCTGTCATTCCAGCCAAGGTTGTCAGAGAAGTGAGTGACTGGATGAATATCTTTGCTTTTAAATTTTGCAGTCTTTAACTGGGTTAAACAAGTTAGAAGAAGGAATATAAACACTTTAATAAAGTTAAATCAATGGAGTTATATTTTCCACTAAAAACAGATGCCAGTTTTATTGTACCTTGTCCCTCTGTGTGTGATAGGCATAGGAACAAACCTCACTGACACTATTGTTACTGAGGACAGAGCTTACATGAAGTCACGTCTAACAGGCGCAGAAAGGTAGATGTTGGTATCACTCTCACTGAAACTCCTAGGGGAAGATGAAAAATGTCCGCACCTGTTTTATAGGTACTAAAGACAACGACAGAAGCAGTGATTGATGTGAACATTAACAAGAATCTGGTGGGCTCTGCCATGGCTGGAAGTATAGGGGGCTACAATGCCCATGCGGCCAACATTGTAACTGCTATCTACATTGCTTGTGGACAGGTGAGTTCTCCAGCCTGTTTCTAAGTGAAGGAAGAGTGTGTGTGTGTGTGTGTGTGTGGTTTCTAAGTGAAGGAAGTATGTGTGTGTGTGTTTGTGTGTGTGTGTGTGTGTATATGTATGTTTTCAAAATTCTGCTCCAGGATGCAGCACAGAACGTTGGAAGTTCAAACTGTATTACTTTAATGGAAGCAAGTGGTCCAACAAATGAAGATTTGTACATCAGTTGCACCATGCCGTCTGTAGAAATAGGAACGGTGGGCGGTGGAACCAACCTTTTACCTCAGCAAGCCTGTTTGCAGGTATGACAGACCAGGCACAGCCCAGTGATCTGAAACCAGTTTGGAACCCTTGGGATTCCCTCTCTCACTTGACAGTACATGTCCTTCCTCTGCATATTTACCTGGACTATTGCTCTTTTCTTTCCTACCAGCCTAACCTAGCATGTCCACACAAACATAGCTATTCACGCAGGGGCATGTTAAATTAAGAGTAAATGAATGTAGCCAGGCATGATGGCACATGCCTGTAATCCCAGCACTTGGGAGGCTGAGGCAGGAGGATCGCTGTGAGTTCGAGACCAGCCTGGACTACATAGTGAGTTCCAGGTGAGTCTCAACTACATAGTGAGACCCTGCCTCAAAAAAAAAAAAGTAAATGAATGTGTACTGCCAGTCAGCCTGTTAATGTTGTTACCTGTTGTATATGAATTGTCGGTCCTGACTGGCACATCCCATGGAGTTGGGTTGTATTCCAGTGCCATTGTAGTTGCCTTGATTTGTGTAATTATTGCTCTTGACTTGAAGGGTGAATCTTTGTCTCCTGACCATAGATGCTAGGTGTCCAAGGAGCCTGCATAGACAATCCTGGGGAAAATGCCCGGCAGCTTGCCCGGATAGTGTGTGGTACAGTCATGGCTGGGGAATTGTCACTGATGGCAGCATTGGCAGCAGGGCATCTTGTCAAAAGTCACATGATTCACAACAGGTAAGACTTAAACATGTTTTCCCTATACTTAAAAAAATGCATTATGAAAACTTAATACTCAAATACGATACTCCTAAATTAAAATTTTACATTCCTGTCCTTTTGTCATTACTACTTTTTTTTTCTGGCTATAGGTCAAAGATAAATTTACAAGATCTCCAAGGAACATGCACCAAGAAAGCATCTTGAATAGCCTGATAGTTCTGAACAAACATGGGCATTGGGTTCTAAAGGACTAACATAAAATCCGAATTAAAAATCTCAATACCGTGTCTCATGGAAGATGAAAAGATGTAATCAGTGAGAAGACTGCTTGCATTTGGCTTTGTTGGAGAAGTTGGAGGTCTTTTCCATACGGACGCCTCAGATCTGAACACAGCTCAGTGCTGTACATGTGATGTTCTTTGGAAAGGTCTCAGAATGAATATCACACTGTAAAGCAGCATAGAGATGGTAATCTATGGAGCATATTTTTGAAAGCAAATAGAAGCTGGGGAAAAGGTGTTTTCTTTTAATGAAATGATGAAGTTCATGTGATCAATGTGAAATTGTCTTTTGCCTCGCCTCTGATGAGTTAAAAATGGATTTTAAAAATTGTAGCCGACTTCTGATTTTATAGTTAATATAGTCTGAGTTACAGAAACTTTGTAAGAGCCAAGTTTATTTTTTGTAAACTAATAATTCATTTGGTGCTGGTCTGTTTTGACTTGAGGATACTAACATTCTTCAGAGGAAACCTGATTCTTCAAGGGAAGAATTTTATTTTCAAACTACAGAATAGTGTGCTAAGCAGTGTTGAATAGTTCTCTATCAAGAAGACAACTCACTGCATTCCTCTCTGTAGATTATTTGTTCAGAGAGCTCTCTTGTCTAAATATAAATGTTTGTCTAGCTTGGCAGTAGCACGAGCTTTCAGCATTAGGTTTTAAGAGAATTTCATACTTTTTACTGAAGTTAGATATCTTAGTGTTGCTTATACGTACATAGTGACTGTGAAGTATAGTACTAGCACGTCTGTGACCTCTTAGAATTCAAGAGTATGGAAACACTGTTTTGAAAGGAAAATACCATTTCTCTAAGCCAACTTTAATCTCTTTAAAGACATTTTAATTTATTTAGTTGAGAAAAATCTGTATAATTTTTTTTTAAACTATCAAATCTGTATATATTATAATACAGCTTCTTATGCTAGGACCTTATTGAAAGTGTTCAATAAAGAAAATGAACTTGTTGGGCCAGGTGTTTAGCTCAGTGGTGCCACTGCCTGCCTTGCAGGTGGAAGGTCCCAAGTTCAATCCTGGTACCAAAAACAAAATAAAACAAAACAAAAAAACAACTTGCATATTGATAAAACACTCTAGCCTGGGCTTTAATACTGCCCAGGAAACCCTGGTTTGCTCACCAGGCCTAATGAAGGGAAAGTCAGCTTGCAGAGCCAATGACGAAACCACGTGAATGGCCCTAGAGTCTTGTGCCTTGTTCCTGTGGCCAGGAGGTTGGTGACTGAATAATTTACATGGGGCTCTTTGACAGATCCATAAAAGCTCTTAGCTTCCTCAGGGGGTCAACAGAGTTACTGAATATTGTTTTGTTTTTTAATGTACAAGTTTTGTATAAAAAAAAAACTCCTTATTTTGTATTATTCTATCTGATGCTTCAAGTGTTGCTCTTGGAAAGCTAATGTCTCTCATGTAGAAGATGGACTCTGAGAAACAATCCAGTCCTGTGGGCAGCATGGGAGCCTGAGTGATTATGTCTGCAGTATTATTGTGGAACAGTGACCTTTTCTGTTGTATATACAATTTAAATTGCTCCACTTGGGACTTTTCAGCTAGTGGCTTACTTGAGCTTTTCATGGAAGCAGCTGTGAAAAGTATGTTGAATATTCATTTTTGGTTGACTGTAACCAATATCCTCTTGCTAAATTAATGTTTGTACAATTACTAAATTGTATACTTTTTGTTATAGAGTACTTTGTTCCAGTTCCAGTAAATTATGAAAAGGAGGTTAATACTTAAAAGTATAAGCAGTAGACTTTTTTGTTTGGCTTAATCCTAGGCCTGAGGCCTGAGGCTTGGAAGTTTTCAAAGCCAGGCAGAGTTGTAATTTGTAATTCATGCCAAGGGTTACACAGTCATTTATCTAATTCTACAACATTAATGGTAGGCTGGTCTTGTATGTGCATTAAAACGATCTTCTCCTTAGAGGGTTTGATTAGTTTAGGTTTAGTGTCTCAGCCAGACTGCTGTGTATCAAAGGTGGGAGGGAGGTGTTAGTTAAGAGAAGAGGACACGTTGTGAATATGTATTTAAGTTGTATCAGCTGAAGGAGAAGGGAATTTGTACAGCTCCCTACAGCCAAGGTTGGATTTGTCAGAAGAGTTGACTTGGTTTATTTGCAGTTGTTGACCATACTTGCTGTAAAGGTGAAAAGGTACGTTTGAGCCACCACCAACCAGGGCCCAGATTTTAGAGATTTACTTTAATTTTCTTGAAATGACCTGTGATCATATGTTATGCGGTCCTCCTTTCCTGAGCAAAGCAGTGTAGACAAAAAATGAAGGACTTTGCACCCCACATGCTGCTTGGGTAACTTGATGTGGCAGGATAGGTATATTAGTTTTCCATTGCTATTAACAGATACCTGAGAAAACTAAACAGTAAAGGGGTTTTTAAAAGGCTTACAGTTTTGAAGGATTCAGCCCATGACCAATGGGTCTCCTTGTTTTGGGTCTGTGGCAGCACATACATTGTGGTGGGAAACTTGTGGTGCTGGAGGCCTGTTTATCTCCTGGCTAGGAAATGCGAGAAGAAAGCCGGGTTCCAGAATCCATTCTAGAGCATGACCGCACTGACCGAAGAACTCGACCCCACTGAAAGTTCCACCATCTCCCAGTAGGTGCATGGATTGGGGACAAAGGGGGGAATTCCTGATCTTAAACTACATCAGGTTTTTCCTCCTTGCAGGAGAGGATACAGAGTAAAGTCCTCAAGGACTCAGCAGCAAATAGTATGAGCTCAAAGGACACAAAATAGCAAAGTACACCAAGTTTGATTCACTGTGTATAGGAAGTGAAGAGCTTACGTTAACACTTTGTTGAGACTTTCCTAAAAGTTGTTTATCCAACTACATTCCTGTGCTGCACAAAGCTAAAATTTATTTTTAATAAGCTTTGCCATATCAGCAAAAAGCATTAGTAACCTTTATGCCGGAAGCCAAGAGAAGATGGCAGATGGCTAAGTTTATAGTTCCCATGTTTTAAGAGTAACAAACAGATGATGTTTTCCTTGTGGTATACATGGATTATCCGCTTTCCCCCTGAACAAGTGTGGGAGCTGCTGAGAGGTGTGGGCAATGGTGTGTCAGGATGTGAGTTCAAGTCTCACAGTTGCTAGCAAACCTGTGCTAATAGCTGGAGTTAAGGGGCAGAGTGCCAGAGTGCTCTGTTACAGTGCTTTAAATTACAGTGGGTGTCAGACACACCTACCTGGAGGACCTGTTTAAACATTGGTGCCCAGGCTCCAGGGTTTCTGATTCCCTCTCTGGGGTGGGCGTGGACTTCGGCAGCTCCAACAACTTTGCTGGTTCTGCTGCTGCTGCATACAGTAGTAGACTTGAATCTGTGTGAAGTTCTCAGTACAGCTGGGAGTTAATCATATTGGAAAATTGTTCTTTCAGGAGCACAAAGTTGGTAAATACCAAGGAGAGAAAAAGTGCTGATTAATAAATCAGAATGAGTCCTAGAGAGGTGTAATAACAACTAACCAAGTAGAATTTATTTAGATGTTGATGATTTCCTACCCTACCCCCAAAATCCTTGAACACCACAGAAAGTCTCCACATCTGCCTGTGGAATGACTGTCCCAGAGAAAGACTTTCAGTTACTGTTTCCCTCCCATACGACAGTAGAGGACAAAAGCACACACAAATTTGAAGTACTTACACAGATGATCACATACACACTATCCAGGCTGCCAAGTGTGCCCTGTAGCTCCAAAGCCACTTCCTTGTATTGTAACTTTTGGGACTGCTGTGCTGGAACAGGAAACCCATTAAACAGCATTCCAGTTGGTTAAGTCTGAAGCCAGCTGTCAGTTTAAAAACACTTTGTGCCAGCTGCTAACGAAGCATATTGGCACTTTGTTCTGCTGAAGTAACTGGGCAAGAAAGCTTCAGGAAGTAATCAAAACTGGAAGGTCTACAGTCACTTAACCTGTGCAGATGATGGCCTGTCTTTGTTTCCATGTCATTTCTTACTCCCTGATCAATTGCAATTTAGGACTATTGGGCAGAATGAGGGACAGTTGAGGGAAGGATTCTGGCTCAGTCCACATTCAAATCGAAGCCTTGGACAAACATCTAGATTACTGTTGGCCTTGATGGTTGATGGAAGAACCTTACAACCTAGTTTTCTATACAACCGAAGAGCTGACAGTAGACAGGCTGTGGCCTTATATGGCTCCTCCAGTGGAGCCACGAAGTTTGTTTGGATGCCCTTCCTGCATAGCTCAGTCTCCTCATCTAGGGCAGACCTGTGACAGCTCTTGATCTTAACTTCCTCTCTACTGCAAAAGATACTTAGTTCTTTGTGGGCCCCCACCTTGGCCCATAGCTCCTTCAGCAGATCTGAACATTCTTTCCCCAGGCCCTGGCACTTGTTAAGTAACCAAAACTTAAAATTGCTTTGCTGGTCCAACCTGGATACTTGAAGGTTTAAATTGAAAGTTCTTGGGAGACAACCATTTATATAACACACCTAGACTGTGCTTAACTAGGTCACAGAATCCATGTCCTCCAATGCCCCTCAGAAAAAATTAATACACATCTCCCAATGTTTCTTGATGAATTATATACACATGCACTACAGTTAAATGTTTTTCCCCTGAACTCATACATCTTGTCCATGTTATCCTCTAGACTAAGGTCTTATTCCTAAAAATAAATTCCATACATTTACAGGTCTTCAATGGCTACTGAGTGGCTAATATTTACTGCAGAGAGAAAATAAGTCATTTACAATAAGAAAAAGGCTGTGTTGGAGCTGAGAATTGAGACCTTCATTTTTAACCCTTGCTCTGCTATTAACTGGCTGGGCACCTTAGGTTATTCACCTCATTACCTTTTGTCCTGTTTCCTTATAGAATGAGCCACTGGATAAGGCCTTATAAGGTCTAACCCAACACCATATAGTCTATAAAATGCTGTTTATCCTTACCTCATATGTGTACTTATCTGCACTGAATCATTCTGTCATCTAAGAACAGAAATGAACTCTTTTTCTAGGGGTCAAAACATGGTTCTCATGTAGATACCTAATTTGGGGATCAGTCTAGGTCAGTGGTGGTGGTGAACCAATGGCACAAGTGCTGCAGTGGGCTGTATCACTGAAAGCTTGCCATTACTGTTCTAGGACCTCCCCAGGGCACCAGAGGTTCTCAGTGGAAATGGCTCAGCCAGTTGTTTTCCTTATCATCCCCTCTTGGAAGCTGCACAGCTAACTAACCTTTTACATCCCAGACCTCTGTGGGTGGTCACAGCATTTGTTTCCTTGGGATGCCTGGCTCATCTGCCACTGCCCTTGGCTGGGAAACTGCACTTCTTTATAGAACTTGAGGCCCAGAGAGAAAGGAGATAATGGATCTCATCTTTTTGTACTCAGCATATCCCTGTTGGACACCTTTGCCATATACACCATTTTCAAATCTGCACATTCTTACTGAAATGAACACCGTTTGCCCCCCGCCCGTTCCATTTGTTACTTTCCACAGTCTATTCACTCACCCCTGTGCCCACTGCTACCTTTTTGCCACCTCAAACACTGAATATGCACAGATCTCAGTTTAGGTGCACTGAAAAGCTACTTACTACCTAGCATATATTTGTAGCTGCCTTAATAACTCCTTAATTTGCATATATTAGCATACCAATACTTAATGTGGCATTTCCGCAAATTGTGTTGATAATATCCATCCTCCCTTCCATCTCCTTTCCATTTCTCCTCTTTCCACAACCCCATTCTCAGTAGTCCCTCTCATATCAGTTCATTTTATTTTCCGTACTTCTCTGTATCTGGCTTACATCCTCAAAGATTCTTAAAGTACATCATCTTGCTCTTCCCTAAACAAACCTGTGATGGAACCATGACAGGTGGCTCTTATTTTAGAAAGACACACTAAAACGACATCAAGATCACTGACGTTCAAATGGGAAAGCCAGAAAACCTTCAGTGTTATTCTCTCAGTATGTTGAATATATGGTAACCTGGCATGTTTAGAAATTCACTAAGAAATAACAAACCTATTGGACTGAAGGAATTAAAGAAGTCTGTCACTGACCATGAATTACTTTTTGAGAATGGAGAATAAACAGCTTTGTACATCTTAAATGTGGCTTACTCTATTATTTATTGTACCTCAAATACTGATTTCAAAGTCAATTTCCTCTTAATTTGGATACATTTCTAAAAGGCTTGGATATAACAAAAATGATGCCAGATATCCTATTTATTGTTGTATTCCCCAATCCTGGAACACTGCCTAGATTAGTAGATGCTAAATATTTTACTGTATTGATCTTGGGGCTCAGTAGCAGAGCACTTGCCTAACATGTACAAGGCCCTGCCTGGGTTTGATCCCCAGCACCACCATGAAGAAAAAAAAAATTACTAATTTTGAGTACTGGCTTGGACTTTGATTAAACCTTTGCTGCCACTGGATCTAACCACTATTAGAGTCCCAATTCTAAGAACAGCAATGGAATAACTCCAGTAAACTGACTTGGAGTAAATCCAAAGCTTGCTTTGATTTGCATCCTCCATGGTCATTTTGAGGCAGCCAGCTCACAAAACATTGACAGTGGTATTGGGACTTACCAACAAATCTGAGATAAAATGCTGTCCTTGGGCTTCATAGTGGTGTTTCCTAAGTTCCTTCTTTCATCTGAGCTGCAATATAGGAAGACATTTAAGGCATAAAATGGTGGCCAAATTTTGTCTTTGTTGACTTTCCAATGTTCAGTGGGATTTCATAAAAAAAAAAAAACCAAGCATTTGGGATCTTGTGAAGACAATACTGAAAGGTAGGTAAGAGCCATACCATCAAATTGTTACTCCCAAGCATGCTAGCTCTTTCCAGTTTATCAAATGTTGTATTCTACAAATTAAAATAGGCATTAAAAAGTAGCAGAAGGGAAAAGCCACGTGCTTACTAGCCAATCAGTAGACCTGTTTCATCTGTAAATATGGGTAGTTCTGCCAACATCTACCATCACTGAAGTCAGAAAATGCAGGTAGAATGCTACTTGGTATGACACAAGATATCCTTATTCAGTACCTCATAAAAGTCTGTGTGTAGGAAAATTCTGGCTGGGCAATTTTTTTTAACAACTTCAAAGATATTTAAGTTTTATAATTATATCCTAGTAGTAAACTCAAAGAATTTTATGGAAGAGAAAATGAGTGAAAAGGCCAGAATCGCTTAACTTTATGTAAGGTTACTAAGAATATATAGATGTGAAAGATTCACAGAAAATGTACTTTAGTAAATGCAAGTAAGTCATATTGTAATAAAACTCCAAATGGAAAAAAATCCCCTTTAAATATGATATAAAAGCAACCCAATTTGAGGGTGGTGGAAGTAAACCTATTAGCAGGTTATACTCCAAAGTTGAACCTTAGGTAAAAAAATCTAATTGTTAAAACTGCTCTTGAAAGACTCACAAGGATCACATACTCATTTCTCTGTCAAGTGTAGCACAACAGCCAGATGTCTCCGATGGCATTCCAGATTGAGTAGTTGGTGTGTATTTACAGGCCATTTTTTTTAGATGCATCTGTGAACACTAGGAAAGAAATATGCTCAGTGTTTCAACACAGCCCTGGAGGAACCCCACTGACTCCAAACCCACTCTTCCCTCCTGAAATTTGTTCAGGGCATAAATCCTCTGAGTGCAGCAAGTGGGGCTGACCATATTATTTACATAAAGTATTTGTGCTAATTTCAGGCAACTGAGTTACAAATTAAATGCCTATAATTCACTGACTGTGCTTTCATTTTAGAAATATTCAATACATGGCTTTGCTTCACCCACTCTAGCAATTTTATGAAAGTTGTGAAATGATCCACAGAAATGAAGTTTCAATTTATCCAACTACATGTGTGTGTGTGTGTGTGTGTGTGTGTGTGTGTATATATATATATATATATCACATGAAAAAATATTTATCTTTATTATATGCCATGTACTTGATATATCCTATCCTGTTTTTTATAAAAGATTTAGGTTGTGCTGGCACATACCTATAATCTCAGCTACTCAGGAAGCTGAGGCAGTAGGATTGTGTTTGAAGCTAGCCTGGGCAATTTAGCAGG